TTATTAGCTTTTTAAGAATTATAGCTTCGGCTTATTTTTATATATGTATATTGTATTTATTTAAAGAGTATTATTAATATTATTAGTTAATAACGTTTAATTATTTCTATTGTCTATTTATTTCTGTTTCTATTATTACAGTATTTTAATTCATTTAAGAGCTCAGTTATTATATTTAATATTTATTATCCATTTTTGGCTTTCCGAAATTTGAAAACAACTTACAGTAAAAGTAATGAATTGTTGAAAAGTTTATTGATTATTTTTACAATTTGACCGGAACAATTTGCCAAATTAAACTAAAGGCTTTGCTCATAATCGCATAGACCACCATTTATCTTAGATATGTTATTATAGTATCCACAGCCAAGATCCGAAATATTTGTAATTATCTTGCGTATAAGCATTGTTTTTCCCACCGTTTAATTTGATGTCCGAAGTGTTATTGTTGCACCTATATCGAGTTATAATTGGTTAGCGATATATATTTATATCTCGTTAGCGAGTAATACTAACTGTTAACTTGCAAGCATGTGTCGAATGTCCTGTATATGTGTTTGCCGTCTTGTTCTATTGTCCTCTCTCTCCCGTTATTTTGTTATTCATAAAGTGAACTCTATTGGATCTTTGGATTTTGGATTTACTGAGTCGAGCCGCGTCTTTGGGCAACAGCCTTGAATATAGCATATAAAATACCTATGCTGATAGCTAGTATTATAAGACTCTTAAAGAATCCACTCAATAGGGCGTAATCTTGATCGTGGAAATTTAACGAGCAGCAGCCCGACTGATGTGGACATTGTGATTGAGCCCGCTTATAGGGACATGCACTTGATTGATGCTCACAGTGTAGCTGATGGTTAGAGAACAAAAACCTCATTGCCTTTAGCGGTAGGTCCCGGATTACCTTAAATATAGACGGCGTCGGAAAACACTCCGGATGTTCCTTTCTTAAATAATTCTCACAAGTTCGGCCATTCGGTGACATTTTACAAACCAAATTTAGCACTTGTTTATAAGGATGCTTCCAAGACATGCTTGCCAAAACTAAGAAAAACCTTTAAATAACGAATCGTTATTCGTTCAAATACAATTTTCAATTCTCTAGTAGACTGCTACTAACAACAATTCCAAATTTATCTGCAGTTAATATTTTGTTCGACTCTCTACAACTTTGACTTTAGAGTATTTGTTAACTTAGTTTCCTTGTTTGCTTTAATCCCATATCAGAGTAAATAAATGTTGATGTTTCAATTCATTGAATTATTTTGTCTAACATTTTCTGATTCATTTTCGAGACTTTGGCATTATTTGTAGGCCCTTATTCTCATTCATATGCGTGTATTCTTGCATATGTAAAGATAGCATCGGTTATTATTATTATTTTCATTTTAATTTTTTTAAAATTATGTTTACCTTTTGTTTTACCTTTTTTATTACTTTTTACTCCTAATTTTTAGTTGGTACGCATATAATCTTATAAGAATCCCATTTATCCAAAGAAATGTTTTTCGAAATTATTTAACAGCACTTTAAACTTGAATTTGTGACGTCAAAAACGCGAGTTATATTAAATGTCAGATGCTTGAAAAACTTGAATCTGGTAACGCTGTCCTGATAGGAAAACTTTGCAAAAAATAATCGATAACAATTACTGCAAAATATAATCGGAATTTTGTGCACAAGATATGGCAATCATGTAAATGAAAGTTGCCTTTAATATTTCAAGTAGTAGGCGACGCGAATGCAGGCGAAAAGTAGCTGAGATCTAAAATCGTCAGTCGAACTCTTTCATCAGTCGAGCTTGTGCAAATTAATTTAATTTTCTGTGCTTTTATTCTGAAAATGGAAAATACCGTAGCTTTGGATGATGTGGTGCTAAATCCATTGGCTAATGCCAATGGCAAGCGCAATGCAGAGGAAGCCAACAACCTCGAGTCTGCCCCAAAGAAGCCAAGAATTCGCAAAGGAAATTCTCAGCGCTGGAACGATAAGGAGGTGAGTCTGGGCTTTCGCATATTGAGTTTTGTTTACTATACATTTATATACTAAAATTTATA